GGAGGGAGGGCTGATTAGCATGCAGCAGCGCTCGCGCGCCCGGCTCCATTGTTTTAACACCTCCCCTCTCCTCCGCGCCAATCTGTCACCGTTCAGCAGGCGAACGCTGCTGCCTCAAATGCTGCTCTTCTCAAATGAGACGGATAATTAGTTGCCCCGCACGAATGCCGCACTCTTCTCACCCCTGATTGCTATCACCTTCTTGCTCCTGGCAGTTTTGACACCTCGTAATCAGCCTGCTGCTTTTCCCTTCTTCCCGACTTCTGCTTCCCTCCCCCTTTCCTCCTATTTATTTATTTATTTATTATTATTACTTTAAAATGGACTCCCGGGCCCTCTTTGAGCGAACGAGGCCTCTGCCGAGTGAACCCGCCGCACGGGCGCGGGCGCGTGTGCCTATGTACATGTCGCTGTAAAGGCGGGTGTCGCTGCGCGGCGGGGGGCGGGGTGGCGGCGGGCTGGGACTTTTGCGGGAAACACTGCTGCTGCGCGGTGAGAATTCTCTGCTCCTGAAGAGATTTGGGGGGAAGGGAGGAGTTGGGGAGAGGGGCGGGAGGGGAGAGTCGGGGAGACCTCAATGAATGCTTGAAAGATCGCTTCGAAACGATCCAACTGGGGAGCCTGGGAATCTGCTGTCAGCAGCGTGGGCCCCGCGCCCCTAACGAGCACTGACAGTCTAATTACTGCAGCGACGCGCAGCTGTCGAAGCACAGCCCGCCAGCCCGGCGCGCCCGGCCGAACCGCCGGGACCCGCCCGGCCCGGCCCGGCCCGAGGGGACGGCGAGCAGGGCGCGGAGGCGGCGGGCCTGGGAGCCCGGGACGCGCTCATTGTTTCCTATTTATACAGTCCTTACCTTGAAGGTTAAAAGATGTGAGGAAGAAAGGAGGGGACGAGGGGGAGTGGGAAGAACGGCTCCTGAGCCTCCAGCCACCCCGTTCCCCCTCGGCGAGCTCTCCCTCCCCCCGTGTTGGTAAAATAACCACGCAACCCGGGCTGAGGGGGCGGGGTGCGCCCGGCTGGAGTGTAAGAAAGCAGATGTCCCCGCTGGCAGCAGCCTCAGCCTCCGGGGAAAGCTGCGCCGGGGGGGCCCTCCCGAGGACATTCACCTCCCACTTCTCAGGCATCCCGCTCACAACTGCCTCGCCTCGGCGGGGGCGGTTTCTCCAGACTCAGCGTTTCGGGTGTGCAGCTTCTCTACCTGGGAGCGGTTCTTACCCGGCCACGCTTGGCAGATGCCAACATGCAGCCCCTGCACGACTCAGTCACAGGAGGCAGAGGGAGACCTGGTGGGTGCCCACTCCGCCTTTGGAGCTGCAGCCAGCCACCTGAGCGAGGCCAGGAGCCCGCTCGCCAGACCCTTCCCCTGTGGTCCAAGGCCTGAGTCCCTCGGAAGATGGGGCTGCAGGTAGAGCTGGAACCCCAGTTACTGAAAATGGAGGTGGGGGGCAAGGGGGCGAGCGAGCTGGGGAGAAGGGTCAGTGATAGTTTGATGCCCCTTCTTGCTCATCCCGTTTCCTTGGGTGTCTGCAGGGGAGTAGGTGTCAACTGTCTGAGAGGAGCGCCCCTCTTCTAGAAGAGGGAAAAAAGAATTCCCTTTCACAAGGCAGGCACCGTGGTATATATACTCTGGCTGGTGCAGCACGCTGGACGTTTTTATTTTTAATTCTGTATGTGGGAGGAATAGGTGAAAGGGGACGCTGGTTGGGCGGGAGGCAGGGGGACAGGAAGAGGCTTGGATAATTGTCTCGGCATTTCCATGCAGCCCCAGTGGCAATGAAAGAAAGATGTACATGCCTCAGAACCCTTCACAGTGAATACCTAATAATCGCTATGTCACCTTGCTGAGGAAGATGTCAATGTGATGTGCTTGGCACCCTGAGAAGTTGAGGCACCGCTCTCATTCTTCCACACATTACGACTCTTCACCGTGGGTCAGGGCCTGCCCCAATCTCCCCGTCCCAAACCCTCCAGGCTTAAAGCACCATGCTTCAGGATGGCTCAAATTTCGGTTTCAGAGTTGCAAATCAATGTTGACTGCACAAAATGGAAGCATTTTTTTAAAGTCTGGGGAAGAAAGAAACCCAAAGAAGAAAAATCATAGGGAAGAAAAACAAAGGAGAATTTCATTTTAAAATGTTAAAAAATTTTGCATTTTGAGTTTCACATCATCTCTCAGTACCTTCCAGTGGCCATCAGTCAAGCTGCTAACAATGAATAACTAATTTTTCAACAAGAATCTGAATACTTCTAATCTAAATTGGTAATATGGACAGTCCTTTACGGGGTTCTATAGATTTGTTCCCATTAAAGACACGTATTTCTTGTGTAATCTAGTTTGAAAAGTGTTTTTAAATCCAAAGTGACCCAAATGTAATAAAATGTCAGCAGATCTGATCATTATCATTCTCCCTGGTTACTGGAAAGAAAACATGAATGTTAAGAACTTTCCCAAAATGTGGTGACATAAACCTTTATTTTCTTTTAACTTAGAAACAAAGAACACATTAGTGAACATAGCATAAGTAACCCTTTTAATATTTCACTCATTTTTAATGTAGCTATACAAAGTAAAAATTAAAACCATATATTATTTTTTTAAAAACCTAAAATATTTTATCTTACCAGTAATTTTACCATTGGTTAACAAATGACTTAGGTTTGGCTTTTTACATATTAAATGTTTATTTTCTACTAATTTTTATTACAAGTTTATTAAAAAAGAATATGTTATAAATAATATAAAATTTAAAATGAAATCAAGTGGGAAAAATCCCCATAAACATTTAACGTTACCAAATTAAAATGATATAACTAGACATCCAAGCATTTAAGTTTAGGTATTGGAAACAAAATCTGAATTATGATTACATAATATCCCATCACATAATTTTGAATTATGGTAATAACACTGTAAACATGAATACAATGAATTACAGATCAGTACAGGATGATATTTTAAAAGACAATAAAAGTAAGGTACAAAATTTAAGTGCAGGAAAAAATTCAAATAGCTGTAGCACTGAATTTTTCTATAAACGTTTTGTACTGTTTATACTCAAGTATTTATAGTATTACAACCCCCAAATCATTGCCCAGAACTTGATTTGTCTGTTTTCAAATTTGTCTTAAGTCTCCCCATTGAAGTGTGAATTAAGATGCCGGAGGAAATCCGCCCTGGAAGTAATGGATGGTGGGAAAGCTGCTTGACAGAATTCACAAACTCGAGGTATTAGCAGTTCCGAGTCTGTACCACTTGGTACCAAGTCACTGTCTTGAGCAGGATGGGGCTTCCAAACAGGCTGCAGGAAACAAGTAAATGAAAAACCTTCCGTTATTTGTCTTGAAAATCAACTTGTATGTTGAATAAGTTATATGCACGTACTTGAAATTCCTTAAGAATAATAACCGAGTACTGAAATATCCTAATATGAAAGAAAAATAATTTTGCACCAAAGTTAATATGAGACTCAATTCCCTTTTTCATAAAGGATACAACAATATTTTGATAAAAACCATCTAGGCTACATGTTTTAAGTATTTTATCTTCATATATTAAAAAATATGCTAGCTTCAACAGCATCAGTTTTAATACCTGTTACTACAATGACAACTGTTTTGGAACTAAGGTCAATACTGTAACTCTTTTTTATGAAATTTTATCTTTTCTATTTTATATTAGAAACCTTAAGTTATAAGGTCTTATAGAGTTTACTAATACATAGTATATTAGGTATGATGTACGTGTGTACATGCATTTAATCAATGTTTCACTATTTATAAGCAAATATCCACTGAACATATCATATATCAGTGTTTGGATGGCTGAAAACATCTTTTTAAATGTCAAGTATTTCATCACTCAGCAGAATCTAGTGACAGGTGTATACTTTGCTCCGTTATACTGTGCATAGTATGGCCTTCAGACCCTTCCGTGTCCCAGAGAAACGTGAAATCTGCCAGCAGTAACTCAAAGCATTATGGAAAGTTATAATTTAACAGGACCACCCACGTAAACACTTCAGTAATGGCATCTATGCCATTTTTTAAATGAGTAAAAGAGAAAGAAATAGCTTTTAATTTAATGTTAATAGTAGGTGCTCAATAAACATTGGTTAACTTTAATATATTTTTCAGAATTGTTTTAAAAATTATTTTTTTTTAATTAACAAATTTATTTCTAAAATTTGCATTCTTTAAGAGCCCAAAGAAACAATTCTCAATTCTGATACTTTGAGAAAAATCACCATCTAAAGTAAATTTTTAGAAGTCTGATGAGACTCTTTTATGCTACTACTATGTTTTGAGAGTAACTTACCTGATAACTTTCGTTTTCATCCTCCTCACTTCCTTCCGTCTAGTTAACCCAGCATTTACATAAACAGTATATTACTAACTGAAACATATGAGTTTCACAACATCACTGTCTTCTTATAAACATTACTGGACAGCTGTGTACAGTTGGTGTAAATATACAAAGTCTGTCTAGGTACCAAGATATATTCAAATACCAGTTCAGGAAGGCTTATAACATTGACTCAGATCCTTTTGCGAGAATCTGACAGTTTTATCACACACACAAAAAATAATATTTAAAACGAATGTTGTATACTTGGGGGTAAAATAATTTTCTACCGAGAAAAATCTTCTTTTATGATGGAATAATTGTATTAAGCAGAAATCTAGTCAACTCTAGTTAATTCATATTTTATAGCTTGCAACAAAAAGTCTGATTCGTATGCACCATTCTAATGGGAAGCTGGTATGGGTACAGATTAAAGATGATTAAAGGTAACCCTTACTGAAATCTGTAAAATAGTAAGAAATGGATTTAGAAACAATTTCATTTTTATAATTAGTGTGTCAATCCATCTTCTAATTTACCTCCAAATTCTATGTGTATTTTAATCTACTGGGATCTACTAGTTCAGATTTGATGTCTTATATAATTCAGCTAGGACTCCAATCGCTGACTCAGCAACCGTAGGAAAAAACTAAAAATCATATGGAGTAAAAGCTACTTTAGTCTTTGTTATGATACCTAAATATGTAAAAAAGGTATTAAATATTAAATAAAGTAAAAATCTGAAATATAACTCAATTTTTATTTCTCTCTGCTAGCATCTATCAACAAGTGAAGAATTTTGGATTTATCATACTAACTTATGATTATAAATAAAATAATGTTTAGAAAAAATCAATTTTAGAAATATTCTTTCAAACTAACCTGGCCTTCAAAACAAACTAATTTATTTGCTTTTTCTGCCAAAATATCAATTATCTAACCTTATGCCCCATGTCTTATGACAGCTCACCACCAATTCTCCTGCATTTTTTAAGCTGTATACTTCTCCATCAAGTTGTAATCACATACCAGCTGTTTCCCTTGCTGCAGTATAGAAAGCAAATGCACAATGCAGGGTGCCATCTACTGAAATATGAATGCACAGACTAGCTAGGAAAAGAACAAGCAAGAGATATAATGGAGAAAAAATTAACAAGTATTAGAACTGATGTACTTCACAGCTCCACAGGAATTCTACTGGCAATAAATGAAATTGTTTAATTTGCTTCATTTAGGAGCAACTATAACAGACTCTGATAAGGTACAATGAAGAATATAAGTGAGTTTATAATTAAGACTTATTGTCAGATATTGCCTAGTTTTCTCTACTACTAAAATATACCACAGCATGACTGCAACCGCCTTTGTATGATGATCGGAAAGTAGGTTAGACTTTATAGGTTAGATGAAAGTACTTATAAAACGAAAGTATATTCATTTTTTCCTCCGTATCTCAAAGGCAGAGAAGATAAATCAAACAAATGTGTTTTCATTAAATTGTTTATTTTTATAGTTTTTGAAACAATTATTTCTTTTCATTGCCTTCGGGGATTAAAATGGGGGCTATAAATACTACATGAGCTGAAAAAACTGAAGGCATATGATTAAAACAATATATATATGTATATATATATAAATTATTTTTTAAAATTAGGGTTTATGTTCAGTGCCAGATTAGAAACCAAAGCCAAAATCAAATCCTATAGGTCTACATACTATACAAATGCGAATATGACATTAGTTTAGCGATAGTTCACCTATTTGGATAAATAGAAATATACAATGCAATGATTTATTTTGGGGAAATTATGCGTTCTTGTAAAAATGAGCATGATATGTGCAAATATTTTAATGAAAATAATACCATTTGCTTCATTGCATAAAATTGAACAAAGATTTCTGTAATAACACCGGTATTGAGCAAACAAGCTTAGAGTAAGAGATTAAGGAAGTGATACCACAAGGTATGAGTAAGGTTCACATGTATTTAAAACTGTGCCTTACATTTCCAGGTACTTGAACATAGCCCTTTACCACATTCACATTTTATAATGTCCTATCATTTATAAGACTTGAATTTTTATTAAAAACTTTAACTGCGGCTTGTCACTATTTTTAAAACAATGTCAGCAACCTAAAGGAGATACATATCTGTGCATGTATGGCAAAATGTGTGTTCACACATAATATATTTGTTAATGCAAAACAGTTACCTGCTGTGGTCCTCGGATAGCTCTTCCTGAGGAATCGAGTGAGGGATAAGGTGCATCAGATGGGTCCTGAAGTGGGAATGTATTTATATACAACGCATTATGGCTTCCAGGTGGCAAACACGGAGCTTTATCCAGAGTTGTCCTGATACAAGAGTTTACAAGATTTGAAGGTTTTGTTTTGTCAGTTGTTTTAAGGTTTTCTATAGCTGAAGCTATGGGGTCAATTCTTTGGTTTTCAAATAAAGATTCTTCTATTTTAACGAAATTTCCTGGGTTGTTTCTGAGCTCCAGTTCAAATGTGTCTTGCCCCACGGTCTCAGCTGTGGCAGGACCAAGGACTTGGGGTCTCTCTGGGGTGCTAAGTAAGAAAGTGGGGTCACTGTCCATAGGTGGGAACTTGACGTTGAATTTAGAAAGTGATTCAACAGAGGTGTCTTCCTCATCTCGGCCCAGTCCTCTTGGTGTGACAGATGTGATGCATGGTGCATCTCTATTTATATCATCTTTAGCCTGAGGCTTACGCAGTGCCTCTTGTTTATCTGTTTTATCTGTACACTGTATAGGCACAGAGCACTGTGTTTCTGCAGGGGAAAAGAACACAAAAGGGAAACATTCACATTCAAAACATTCGTTAAAAATCTGTTCAATCAGCTTTCAACAGATGAGTATTATTTTTCTACTAGTTTTTATGGCAACTGAAGGCAACTGAGATTTTTATATTTGCTACTGGGCTGCACAGGAACATTAGCAGTCTCCAGCAGGTGAATGGGAACACAGCTTATTCGTCAGTTTGACTACTTTGCCTTTTTCTAGATTTTTTGCTGGAAGCTTTGTATCTTATCAACAGCTATACTGTTCTGAATTTAAAAAGCATTTGCTTGTACTGTATATCTTTAAACATTTTGTCAGTAAGGGAAATGGCAACTGTGAACTTACTTTGACCAGTAAGTTGTTATGAGGGAAAATCCTTAGTAGGTGGTACATACACACATATGTAAAGAATCTATACAAATCAGGAAATTTGTTTTCCAAGATTACTATGTAATTAATTATATCACCAATTAATTTAGCTATTGTCTACTCTCAATAATCCAATGTGATGCAGCAGTGAGACCTCAGGATGCATGTTAAGAAAACTGTATGTGCAAATATGATTTCCTCATATATTAAAACAGGCCTTCATTTTACTCTCGGGTAGATACGATGGCCTCTAGTTAACAGATCCTCTGATATTCATTTACCAAACAGTCACGTATCCAAAAAACATTTGGCTTCCCAGGATCTGGGCGAAAGACAGATAATCTCAGCTTCTGAGACTCCAGAATTTGAGCCACAGGCACATGGGTCTATGAATTTTACTCTGGTTCTCCTTTTGGTGCTGGCTAGAAGCACAGAATTAAGATGGTATATGAATTGTTAAAGGCAGACACAGATATCAACAAGAGCTGAAAGCAGGGAAGAGGCAAGGAAATCAAAACAAAACAAAGCATATGTAAGAATGCAGAATACACAGCCGTCTAGTGCAGGGCCAACAAAATTTACACCTCTCAATAAAAACAACGCTCACAGCAACTCTGCAGTGTTGCTGATCCTGAGCCATGGAAAACACCGAAAATCTAAATTATGCCCTAAAATATAAATTCAAGAAAGCAGAGAGGTGATTAATACATATATTAAAAATGATTTTAAATGGATAAAATAACAACAAACAATGTTAGCATTTAAAGAAGGTTAAAATTAGGGAAAACCAAAACAAAATCAAAGGCACCGCCATCGAGTCAATTCTGACTCACAGTGACCCTGCCTGTAGGGCAGAGCCCAACTGCTCCGCAGACTGAAGTTGTATGGGCAAACAGCCTTAGCCTTTCTCCTATAGAGTGGGTGGTGAGTTTGAACTTCCAACCTTTTGGATAGCAGTGCAATGCTTTACTCAAAGTGCCATCAGGCCTTCTAATCTTAGTGAAGCTGTATAAAATGTGAAGACTTCGGCAGGGATGGAGGTTTCAGTAGACAGGATACAGAGTCCCTTGCAGAGTGTCTGTCCGGGTTAGTAGGCATGCAAACATCAGAAGTTGCTTCTAAGACACTGAACAAATCAAAAGTCAGGTATTTCCCCTTTCCCTTTGGTCTTGGCAGCCTCACGCCACCTTTTTATTTCCACGTCAGCACATTTGTCTATAAGCTATCGTATATACTCGTGTATAAGCCGAGTTTTCAGCACATATTTAATGCAGTTTTTGTGGTAAAATTAGGTGCCTCGGCTGATATTCAGGTCAGCTTATACTTGAGTATATATGGTATGTTCTATTTGAATATGATATGTAATACATGCAACTTCTTTAATTCACCCCATTATACAGTGCTGCTTTTTATTACCCCAGCCTTGGAATTACCTGATGGCTTCTACATTCATCTCGTATTGGGACCATTCTTTACATTGCTGCTTTTCTCCTCTTCCCAGAGTAGTTCTATCACGTAGGGATAAGTGTGGTTCTCATGTTACCTTCATAACTCTCCAAGGCCCTCAACCACATAACTATCATTAATTGGCCCCTGGCCAGCTCCCCAAGTTCACCTTTTATTTGACCTTCTTTTCTCCAAGGAGCTCTGGTGGGACAGTGGTTAAGAGCTTGGCTTAATAAACTTTGCCATAATGAATTTTCCAGGTCTTTAAAATAGCCATGTCCTCTTGTCTCTGAGCCTGGGCGTGTGTGTGCAGACTGCTTGAAGTGTTCCCTCCCGCTACTCTTTGCATTTTTTATTTGTCCTTCATATCTTGGCTTAAATACAGATTTCTTTTGGATGGCTTTCCCTTGACTTTCCAAAGCTAGTTTAGGTGTTACTCTGAAGTGCCCTCAAGTACTAAGCACTCTGTACTATATTTGCTAGAACACCTCTATTTCTCCCATTAACGTAGGTTTCTTGAGGTCCTAAACTATAATTTGGTGCTCATGAATCCCAGTACCTTGCCTAATGCCTGGAAGATAATATCTTGTCAATACATTCATTCTGAGTGAATCTGTATTTACTTCCCCGGAGAGCCTAGAATAATATTGTGCATTTACTAGATATATGCTTACATGACAAGGAGGGCCCAGCAGGCTAGCGCAAGCTCAAGTGTTTTGCTAGATTTTTTTTGAACGTTGAGGTTTGTGGAGCAGTCATAGTCTGTGGCAGTAGATGTCAGAGTGGCAGAAAATTGTCGATGGCATTTGTTAGTTGTGGGCAACAAATTAGGAAGACAGCTGTTGAGGTCACCGAATTCTGCAACACTTGAGAAGGAGTTTAGACTTAGCAGTGATCTTGACAAGAAAGGGAAAGCAAGATGAAGAGTCTTCTTGGTTGCTGCTGACACCGACGACCACTAACATTTATTAGCAACCCTGTGTGCCAGGCACTATTACAAGTAGCACCTCAAACCTGTTGCTACGGAGTCACTTCTGACTCACAAGCATTAGATATTCATCAATTCATTTAATACTCCAAAGAATCCACAGGCTGATTTCAATTCACGGTGACCCTATCTTTACCAAAAAGGGTTTGTAATGGTTGATTTTTCCAAAGTTACCAGGTCTTTCTTCTATGGTGCCTCTGCCTCTGGGTGGGCTCAAACCTGCAACCTTTCAATTAGAAACTGATGGTGTTAACTGCACTACACCATTATTATGCCCCTTTTATATACAAACATACAGGGACACTAAGAAGTCAATTTCAAGGCCACTCACATAGTGAACTGGCACTAGAACCTAGGTAGTCTAACTTTAGAGTCTGTGCTCTGAACCATTATGCTAATTTGAAAGGCTGGCTTCAATATAAATACACACACAGATATACATACAGAAAGGAAATCTGGAATCTCAAAATTGGCAGAAATGTGATCTGGATGACTTTTCTAGGAATTGACCAAATCTCTTTAATAAACAAAAACATGGAGAACTAAAATAGCTTTCATATAGCAAATATTTTCTCTCAGCATAGCTGGGTACAACCTTAGCTAGATTTAAATATCTTCAGAGTGAATCTGCCCAAAGAGTGAGAGTTGTTATCTATTTAAAAAAAAATCCAAACCTAAGGGTGTAGGGTCACTGGAAGTCCAAGCTTAGGGACCCTGAAAACGCATGTGGAACATGAAAAGGACTCACAGAGAAACATACTCGGGCAAGCAAAGTACTTTTCTATTTCTATGTCTCACCTATCTCAAGAATACGTATTTCTGCAAGGAATCAGGCAAAATGTGAAAGCTACTCATTTTTTTCAGCTATATCTTCTTTTTTGTTTTTTTTTAAGACTAGTCAAGTGCAGTAGTGAGGAGGGGTAGACAAATAGGTCGACCAGTAATTGACTGTAAGCAATCGTTGTGAGATCTCACTACCTTCGGACCAGCCAGCTACATCTTCTATAATTATAATTTCTTTCTTACTTTTATTGGGGACACTTACATCTCTTATCGCAATCCATACATTCATCCAGTGTGTCAAGCACATTTGCACATATGCCGCCATCACCATTTTCAAAGCATTTTCTTCCCACTCGAGCCCCTGATATCAGCTCCCCTGATATCTCTCTCCCCCTCATCTTGCAGATTAACAAGAGAAAAATATTTCATGGTTGCTTGTAACCTCTAATCCTATATTCTTCTCTCCTAATTTCTATTCAAATAAGATCCTCTTCTGTGTATCAAATAGCACTCTAAAAATCTTATTTATTTTTGCCCTCAGAGGCTACTGTTATATGTGGATGAATACAAGACAGCAGTAATAAAAAGAAAATTGAAAATTTTAGTAACTCAAATTTAGCAAAATTTCCTAAGTTGTATCTGGTTATTCAAAATTAACTCAAACTTTAATATAAATGACATGAAGATGAATTATAGGGCGAAAAACACTTTTTCCTCCAGAAATATTATCTAAATCATATTTTTAAAGTTCCTCTATATTTTTACTCAATGTAATATTCATAATTTGAAACCCTAGACAGTAATCATTTTTCTTAAATAGTTATTTGTTCTTCCTCTCATTACTACTACTAGAGCACAATACTTAATATTTCAGTTTATGTCTGGACCCACTAAATATTTAAGATATCTGTAGCACAAATAAGATCCAAAACATTTCAGAAGAATTCTGTATTTATTATTTATGACACACAGTTCATAGCAAACACTAGTAACGCAGTCTGGTAGGAAAAACTGTAGTAAAACATTCAGTGCTCTACCTGATAAGACACATACTGACGTAGACCTGAGTAATTTAAAAATGGTCAAGGTACTAAGTCAGTGATAATGCGATAAAGTTCTCTGTACAACAAAGAATGTGTCACTATTACAATGGGTTGATAAGATGCTGATATTGAAAAAAGCATGTTTATGAATTCTAGGCACTATATCTCTACAGATAGTTCCTTTTAAATAACAATAATTCCTTTACTTCAGAAGTAGGTGGTGTTTTTAGTTTGTGCAAAAGTTCAATTGTCATGAAAATACGACAAAAGTTCAGATGAAGAAATGTAGTGTCCTTTTTGGGATATGAGGAGAAAGAAGGGGAAGAAGTAAATGCTGTTTGTTACAAAAAACAGTTTTATTTTTCCAATACTACCTTGTGTAGCTTTGCTGATAATAAAATAGTAGTAAGTAAAATGTGAATTTAAATTGTAAAACTTTTTTTTTTAATGCTCTAGATATAAACCCCCTATGAATTGAGAAGTGTTCTTTAATTATAGGAGTGCTAGTCAGCACTGCCGAAACATCTCAGTGAAAACTGCAAAGCACATCTCTTGGGAATTGTACAAAGAATATCTCAGATCGTAAGAGTAAAGAATTATTTATCCTTAGCAAGTGATCAGTTAGTTTATCTTCTTTTTCTATACTAAATTGCTTGGTAGCCAGACAGAAGCAAAAACCAGGAAGCTATTTTCTGGGGTTTCAGGGAGGTAAGAGCTTTTAAAAAAACACACTGTAATAAATTCATACAACAGATGAGCAATTTAAGTTATATTTTATATTAAACTTACTTTGTGCCTCCAATAGAACTAGTAACAGGAAATATGAAATGTTTATTTCTTGAACCAAATTATAAAAATCTAACCATATCATTTAACTGGCTTTCAGCACAAAGTAAAAAACAAACCTATTCTATTAGGTGTGTTTTTATAGCATTACTTACCTCATAAAAGTAGGCATGAAGGTGGCTTTCTAATATATAATTTAATGTTTTTAAAAACCTAATTAACAATAGAAACTTTATACACTATATTTATTTTGTACTTTTTCATGTTGGGACATCTCGTTAAGATGATTATAATTATGTCAATCAATTTTGATCTATACAGTTATCACACACAATACAGAAAGAGGAAAAAAGTCAGTAATTATTTAACATAATACATAATACAACACAAATACATTTAAATATAAGGAAGTGGGAGTCAAGTTGTAGCTTCTTTGCACTTGAGATATTTTCACATTATAAAAGAAATTAAATGTATGGATTGTGATAAGAGTCCTACAGCCCCTAATAAAACGATTAAAAAAAAAAGAGAAATTAAACTTCAAGTACATGACAATGACTGTGAGTTAAGTCAAACCTTACCAGCTGCAGTGTGTGGTGCATTCAGTTTGTTCAAGTGCTCTTTTTGTGCTTTTGCCAGCATGCATATTCTATGAAATTCTTCTTTCAGGTCCCAGAATGTCCTCTCTATAATATCTCTAGTTAAAAAAACAAGATGATATCTTCATGTATTTTTAGTATCATTAAACTTACATAGTAACTTTTTATGTACCATAAATACTTATCATTTCATATCCTAGAAAATTCCCAACACCTCCAATGTTGAAGGGTTATACAAAAACTAAGATAAATTAAAACACTCTAATACATATTATCTATATATCACAAAGCCGCTCTTACTGTCCCCTACAATAGAAATTTTAATGCATTAATTTTTGCTCTCAGAAAACAAACAAACAAAAATGAAACATGCCTCATTTTGATAAGGTTCACATTAGAGTCCATAAAGAACAGAATAGCTGGTCTGCTGAAGTAATAGAGCTTTGGAGAATTCAGTTTTTAGATCCAGCTCTATTAACTGTATGCTTTTAATTAGTTTATTTTAACACATAAAGGAGTCTCAAGTTTTCAGTTTCATTGGTCATTCACAGTTCTTTAAGAAAAGGCTACTTTCTAATAATTACCATATATAGTCGTGTATAAGCCGAGTTTTTCAGCACACTTTTAATGCAGTTTTGTGGTAAAATTAGGTGCCTTGGCTGATATTCGGGTCTGCTTAGACATGAGTATATATGGTACTAAACTTTAAAAAATAGAGCTAATCTCTATTCATAATTTTATAGAGTTGATAAAAAAGATGACATGATTACCTTTCATGAAGTAAAGGAATGCTCTTCGGTGAAGTTTCTTTTCTAGATAGAACCTCTTGTCTTCTTACCTTAAATATACAAAATGACCACAATTTACATCACTTTTAAACTCAAATAGGAATGGGCTAGCAGAAAATAAAGTGGAATATTTATTTTCCTCATTGCAAAATATGTTGAGATTGCTTTATACTTATGTATACATTTATATGTATATACACAAGTGGACTTCAAAATTCCATGAAGATTTTAAGTCTCCTTGTATACTTCTAGATATAAATGTATATATAAATGTTTTAGAAGTACAACAATTTTGTTTCTAAATGGCAAAGAGGGAAAATCAGGCAAAGAGGAAAATGATAGTAAAATAAATATGAAGACCCAAAATAGTTCTGATAATATTTTCAATCCTGGTAATTCAAGAAAATTCATCCAATCCAACCACTGATCAGAATGCTACTCTTCACCAAGCACCTGATATAATCAGAAACTTATGCAGGGGGGAAAAAACAAAATCTGTGTGTATGCTTACTTTGTAAGGCTACTCACTAATAATGGCCTGTACATTTAAATAAATTTCTTTGTATTTAGTTATTTTTTTTGCTGAGGATTGCTGTTGTATTAGAGGAAGAAGAAAACCCAAGCTGTAGCTCTTTAGCGTTTAACAAGTATTTTAAAGGTTATAAATACAATGCAAGCATATATTTAAGCTGCTTCGACACAGTTCTTACCTTTCACTCCCACCCTGTGGCTTACGTTGGTATTACATTTACTCGTCAACATTACAGAACCTGTAACCTATTCTATGGTTTAGATTAAAAATAAATTTCAATAAAACATGATTAGAAAACTTGCTTTCTATACCTTCTGAAACTATAAACTAACAAATTCAGACATGAATCATACTTTTTAGTTCAGCTAAACTTGTGTCCTTGTTTAAGTCCAAATAGTGGATACTTAAGTTTAGCGACTTTACAGATTTTCAATTCAGAGCATTGGTTATTGGTAAAAATGAAAGATTTTACTTGTTTTCTATGTTCTTGATTTTCAAAAGATTTATTTCAATTTTTAATCAGTTTTGTTATAAGAAAAATGACAAGAACCCCTTTTTCTTAAATTTAATATCCTCTCCAATTTATTATTCATTTTTTAGCTTACGCTAAATAACAATGCTTGCATAATATTTCTTAAACAGCATTGTTACAGCATCGCTCTGAGTTCATAAGATAAAATGCTGACGATATGTGATATTCTATTTTATCAGATTGAGGTAAAATATACTTCTTGTCTGAAAAACATCTAAACTATGACGCCTAGATTACAAACAACTACAGGCGAGCTTTATAAAGTAGTCACATCAGAAATTATTTTCACATTCGCAGTTTGTTTTTAAAAGTGGTAGACAAGGTTTTTCTTTAGTGTTACGTGCAATTAGAACACTCAATGAATTCCACTGCAGACTAGAAAGAAAAACATTTTGAAGCCAGCCAATCTTTCAGGGTAGTACAAGGATGAAATGAAAACTT